GTTTGGTCTTTTCACAGTGTCCCACATTTCCTGGATATTTTGTATTCGGAATTTTTTGGACTTAAGGTTTTCTTTGGTCAATGAATCTATTTATCCTAGTGTATCTTCAATGCCTGAGATTCTCTCTTCCATCTCTTATATTCCATTGGTTATGCTTGCAATTGTAGTTCCTGATCATTTATCCAGCTTTTCTATTTCTATTTTTTATTGTCTCTATTTCAGTTTTCAACCTTTGCACTGTTTGAATTGTTTCTTGCAATTTTTGGTTTGTCTCTTCCTCCATTTCTTGAGTATTTTATTTGCTTTTTCTTCCATTTCTTTAAGGAATTTTTCTTATTACCTCTTTGAGGTTCTCATCTTCATAAAGTTGTTTTTATAGTCATTCTCTCCTGCTTCATCTGTGTTGGGGTGTTCAGTTCTTCTCCGTGTGGAATCCCTAGACTTTGGTGGCATCATATTGATCTTTCTGTTGTTGACTGTGTTCTCATACTGTCACCTTCCCATCCCTTCTTCCAATGGGTACCTGTGGGGTCTCTCCCTCTCCTGGTGTTACAGGGCCAAGGTTCTCTTCAGGTGGTTGCAGGCAGGTCTAATACTCAAATGGCTTTCCTCTTCCTGTGAATGGAGGTGGGACTCCTCCTTTGGGTGGAGGTGGGACTAGAACACTGGCAGTCTCTGAATGAGCTGGCCCACCAGGATGGGTTCCCCAGTGCACAGTCCCCAGACCTCAGGAAGCTCCCTCAACCCAACCTTTTGTTCACTCTCTTTTCAAGAACAGAAACCCAGAAAAGCTAAAATTAAAACAAATAATAAAGCAACAAGTGAAAAAATGGTAAAAACAAAACAAAAATGAAACAAACCTGTAGGAGATTTAGGACTGTGCCACTAGCCACGTGGCAAGCTAGAGGTGCATATGGATGTAGTAATGTTAGGGCGGTGCTAACCACACCCACTTTGGGCATGACTAGAGACAGGGCAGTGAACTACGCCACTAGCCAGGCCCACTTTTGGGCATGGCTAGAGGTGTGTATGGAGGTTCTTATAAAAGACTGCAGCAGAGCCACATTTGCTCTCTTTTGGCTTCTGGTTCAGTGGTGGAAAGCTACTTGACTCATCTTGGTTGCCCATTTTCTCTTGTAAGTAATTTCTACAATAAACAGTTACCTATACCCTCAACAAGTGTGCCGTTTATTGTTACAGCAACATGAACCCACATATACAAAAAAATAAACAACTTGAAGTTCATTTTGTGTTGGCAAACTACTCCACCTCATGGGGATTGTACCACGGTGTGTCTGATAGGCTCACTTACTCCCCATCTGAAAAACATGATTTTTCCCTTTCCCAGAGGTATCAATTGCATATAACTTATTGGTTAGTGATGAGAACATGAGTCCCCATCAGTATTTAAATTATGAAGGCTTTGTGCATGTTGCCATAGTCTCTATAAGTGCCTCTGTCCTGTTTTCAGGGAGTAATCCCTAACTTCTAGCTCCTAGATCTTTTCTGAATCATTTTCCACACAGATTCATAAACTTTATTGAAGGAGTTTGAGAGAGACATCTGATTTTGGACTGAGTCCTCCAAAGTCTCTCACTGTCCAGTTGTGAGTCCTCGTGTTAATTTCCATCTACTGCAAGAAGATACTTCTCTGATAAGGATTAAGTAAGGCACTGATCTTATGTGTATAGAAGTAAGCCATGACTAGTAGTTTTATTGCTATGTTCCTTTGTCAGAATAACAGAATTAGATTTTCCCATAGGCTCATGACCTATCTAGTACTAGGTCCTTGGACACATTATCTGTGTCTTGTGTGGATTCCATATTATGGAGCAGACTTTAAAAATGTGTTTTTAAAGAAGCCTTTGGTTTACTTTTATGACATTTGTACCATGATTAAACAAGTATATCTTGAAGGTAGGTCCCAGAGTTTGTAGCTGGGTAATATTGATGACTGCCTTTCTCCTTTAATGTACAGAGTAACTTCCAGTACTAGGAACACTAGTCATTAGGGGTGATGTATTAGCAGAGCACCAGCTCAACTTCTCCATGTTTGATGACGCAAGAATTGTCTTCAGATATTGGGCCTTACCATCAGGTTTTTGGATGCAACCAATCACCTTGGAAATAGCTTGTGATGTTTGGACTTGTTTAGCAAATGACCCAACAAGAAGCAACCCATTCCTGGCACTAGAGATTTTACTTAGTGGCATTAGATGTCTGTTTGGGGCATTCCACCTTGGTTTATTTTGATAGGTTTTATGCCTCTAGAAAGCAATCCATTTTCATTTCTTTTAGATATTCCAGCTTGGCAGAATATTTGTATCAATTTATGTCCTAATCATGTTCTGAATTTTATTCTTATCTGTCATAATGATTCACTTTCATCTCTCCTTTAATTAATTTGTATTTTTTTACTCTTTTAGTTAGTGTAGCTTACAGAATTTTTGCATTTTTATCTCTGTTCTTTCACTGCTGTCCTGGATTATTTATTTTCAGCTACTAACTTAGGAGTTTGCTTGTTCTTGTCTATACAAAGTCCTTAGTTACACATTATTTGAGATCCCTCTCATCTTTTTATTATATTGTTGTTGTTATTTTTTGGAGACAAGGTTTCTCTGTATTGCTTTGGAGCCTGTCCTAGAACTCACTCTGTAGACCAAGCTGGCCTTAAACTCACAGAGATCTGCCTGCCTCTGCCTCCTGAGTGCTAGGATTAAAGGCATGTGCCACCAATGCCTGTTCCGCTCTTGTCTTTTTAATGTAGTCACTTGGACCTATATACTTTTCCTTTTATGACTGATTTCATTGCATCTAATAGGCTTTCATATGCTATGCTTTAGTTTTGTTTTTAGAAATTCCTTGATATTATCATTCAGTGGGTTATGTTGTTTAATCTTCCAGAGTTTATGCATGCTTGATAGTTTCTTGTGATAACTGACTTGTGGTCTCACCAAATTATATTCGTGTAGAATGTAAAGAATTATTTCAGTTCCCCCATATTTGTTAAAACTTCCATTTTGTCCTACTGTTCAATATCTTTTAGAGAAAGCTCTGTGGATATTAGGGTAGTTTATTCTGTCGTCTTTGGATGGATTTTTATATAACTGTCTATTAAGTCCATTTGATCTATGATGTCATAAAATGCAGAATCTAGTTATTTACTTAACTTTTTGCCTGGATGGTGAAAATAAGCTTGAGTCTGTTTTGGCAACATGAGAAAAACTACAGAAAGTTTAATAATTATATGACTTATGAAGGAAATGCCAATGGTGATAAAGGAATGAGATTAATTCATTTTGAAAAGTTATTGAAGCAGTAGAAAATCTGATCACTCATACCAAGGAATCAATAGATTGGTTGAGATACTAAAGGAGTGGAGTAGAATCTTAGCCAGGTTCTACAGCCTGAGTTTCTTTTTACTAAACAGTTCAATCTAGAACTCAACTATATGAAGACAAAGGAAGTTTGGGGTGAATATTCTCTTTGTCGTGTAAGGTCTCAAAAATAATCTGTTTCAAATGAGACATGAATCAAGCTATCATTATAAAAGATCATAGGTATTGTTACTTCACCTGCCAGTATGTCATTCAATAATTTGCACTAGAGGATAAAAACACAAATAATTAGACTATGAGTCCACACACACAAACACGTACCATGATTCTTATCCAGTATTTCAGACCTTGTTCAGATAATAGAAACACTGTCTGAGTTTTTCCCTATTCTGTACTATTTGTTTGAATGGGCATTCTAAACATTTTGATATGTGATTATACTTGCTTTGAATGCCACTTAATTAGTCATTGCATCAGAATTATGCTAGATAATAACTACGGGACAGAAATCGATAAATTTGATGAAGTTATGGAAAGAAAACAATGAACAGAAGATTTTGAAAGTTTCTATACTATATGGAACTATGTGTCTTTAAAAATGAAGATGTTCTAGTCACTTAGGATCTGTGGCATGTTGAGTATATGTTGAGTCCAATGTTGCATAAAAAAAAGAATCCAATGAAAAATTTTTGGTTTTGCAGCTTAACATTTTTTATTTAAATTCCATAAAAAACACCCTATAAAGGAAACACAATATCCATTTTCTGCTGGGTTCCTTGGTCTCTTTAAAAAATTCAGAGAATTAAGGAACAGTGTGAACACATGTATACATATTAAGGAATCATGGAATACATTTGAAATACCCGCCAATGACTTCAGACTTCAGCAAAGGTGTCAGGCTATCTTATCTACATACCATGTTTCTAGGAACACACTGAAAAGGAGCTTCACTGACTAAAGCTGGCAGGAGCACCGACCTATGAACACAAGCATATTTTAAAAAACTACTTAGACAAGAATGTCAGGCCTACTTAGAAAAAAGATATCAATAGCTTCCCAAGCAAGTCTGAGGAACTTTGGTCATGGGTTTTTCAATAGTGATACACTAGCATTTTTAAAGTACACGAATTTGAACTAAGATAGAAAAAGTAATTATTTACTGTGTGGAGATGTGTGTGTGTGTGTGTGTGTGTGTAATAAACTGATAATTTTAAAACAATATGAACAGTGATTACAGATCTCTCCAAAATAAAGTCACTCAATAACTCAGTGTAGGAAACTGAAAGAAAACATTGTATGTATACCAAGTTGATATGTAGACATCAATTTTGACATATTGAAATAGAATATGTAGCCAGTGTCTATTGATACCATTTGCTTTAAATATTCATTGTAGGTATGTGAAATCATATATTTAAGAAACATCATGATAAATCTAAGAGTTCTTTATCTATGTTCAGAATATGGGCAATTACATTTTTACATAGATCCATAGTTTGCACTTCAACAAAATTAAACAACAAACCAAATGCACTATGTGGAATCATGCATTAGACCAATACTTAAGCCATTTAATCTCATACATTCCTCTTTCTCTTCTATTTTGGCCTACCAAAAACTAAGCTAATCCTTTGTCTGCCTTTGTTTTCCTTTTACATTCAGGCTTGCTGCTCTAATGCATCAACTCAGCCAGAAGACAGACCATTAAGAGTCAACACTGCATGCAACTAAGACAAAGGGCATCCTCCTTGGATGTCTTGTGGGACATGGTGGCTATGGGTGAGCCTGGGGCCCACATGAGGATAAGTCATCTGCACCTCTGGCTGGGGATGTTGATCATTCTTTCAACATGGCCTTTGACTGGGCATGCTCAACACACCAGCCTCCCAGAAGTAGTGATACCCTTACGGGTCACAGGCAACAGAACGATGTGGGCTATGGGATGGCTGACATATAGCCTGAACTTTGGGAGTCAGAGGCATGTTATCTACATGAAAATCAAAAAGTTTTTCATGTCTAGACACCTCTCTGTGTTCACCTACACTGACCAAGGTGCTCTACACAAGGACCAGCCTTTTGTTCAGAAGGATTGCTACTACCATGGCTATATAGATGGAGACCCAGAGTCCATGGTTGCCCTTACCACCTGTTTGGGGGGATTTCAAGGAACATTACAGATAAATGGGACTGTATATGAAATCAAGCCCAAGAACCTTTCTTCCACATTCGAACATTTGGTTCACAAGATAGACAGTGAGGAGTCACAATTACTCCCCATGAGGTGCGCACTAACAGAAGAGGAGATATCCCGGCAAATGAAGCTTCAAGAGAATGATAACCACATACTGATGCAAAGCAGCTATGAGGGTTGGTGGACCCACAAGCATTTTCTTAACCTGGCATTGGTTGTAGACCAGGAGCGAATTCGTTATCTGAATGGCAATCTGTCACGTGTGTTAATGGAACTGTTAATGATTGTGCATGTAATAAATAAGATTTATCATCCAATGGATGTTGAGGTAGTTTTACTCGGAGTTGAGATGTGGAATGAAGGAGACCAGGTGACAGCAACTACCATAATGGATCTCCTGAATCATTTTTGTCATTGGAAAAATGTTAGCCTTAATAAGCGTGTTCAGAATGATATTGCACATCTTTTTGTGAAACGTCGTTTTGGTATATATCTTGGTTTAGCCTATGTTGGAACTGTTTGTATTCCATTTCTTAATTGTGGGGTTGATAATCTGGTAGGAGGAAATCTTGTTCATTTTGGACATATTACAGCACATGAAATGGGTCATAATTTGGGTATGATACATGATGACCACACGTGTACATGTGGAATGCAAGCATGCTTAATGGCTGAAACAGACAATGGTGTCCCGAAATTCAGTAACTGCAGTTATGCTGCACTTTTTAAAACCTATGCTTTTGCCAACTGTCTGCACAAGGAAAAGAAACCAGTTAGCAAATACAAATTAGAGTTATGTGGAAATGGTGTGGTTGACGATGGAGAGGAGTGTGATTGTGGATCTTCGAAAATGTGTGTAAAAGATCCATGTTGTAGGGAGGGTTGTACCCTGAAATATGGAGCTGCTTGTGCTTTTGGTCTTTGCTGCAAAGACTGCCAGATCATGGCATCAGGTGCAGTGTGCAGAGAAGCTGACAATGAATGTGATCTTCCAGAATGGTGTAACGGAGAGTCACATGAGTGCCCTAATGATGTCTACTTGCTTGATGGGAGCTCCTGTAAAGATGGGGGATACTGCTATGAAAAGAGATGTAATAAGCGAGATGAACAGTGCCAGCAAATCTTTGGCAAAGAAGCCAGGAGTGCAGCTCAGAGATGCTACAGGGAAATCAACACCCAAGGTGACCGTTTTGGCAACTGTGGTCTCTTCAGAAGTACATACCTAAGATGTAATGACTCAGACATCCTCTGTGGGAGAGTTCAGTGTGAGAATGTGAAAGCTATCCCTACTTTGGAAGGACATTCCACTGTTCACTGGACTCACCTTAATGGTGTCACCTGTTGGGGAACTGACTACCATTTTGGGATGACAATACCTGACATTGGCCATGTGAAAGATGGCACAGACTGTGGTCCAGAGCATGTGTGCATTGATAGGAAGTGTGTCAGTAAGTCAGTGTGGGTAAGTGATTGTTCTCCAGAGAAATGTAATATGAAAGGGGTCTGCAACAATTTACACCACTGCCACTGCAACCTTGGGTGGGAACCACCATTTTGCCTGACACATGGCTTTGGAGGGAGTACTGACAGTGGCCCTTTGCCTGTGAAAAAAAAGACTTACAAGAAAATTATGACACTAGCTATTTTGATATTCCTTCTTACTTCCTCAACCTTTGTGTTAAAATTCTTTTGGGACACTTTATTTCCTAGGAGGACTAAACCCAGTGTTTCTGCTTCAGATAATGAAGAACCATCCAGCAATGTCAGCACTTGAGGCAGAATAGAAAAAGTTGGTAATTTCAGAACTATGTCAAATCTCCCTAAATTTCCCATGCCTTACCCTGTATTATCTTGTCCCTTGAAGCATCATTTGTTTAAGAATTGGCTGTAACAAAAAGTATAGAGATGTTTAACATTTCAGTATCAGAACACACAGCATTCAATAAAAGTGTAGCCCTATTACTCAATGACGTGTCTTCAGTTCATGCTGTCTTACAGTGTTCTCAGTGAAGACCCCCCTGAGGGTTCCTGCATGTGTGTGTTTGCTTTTGCCTCTCTCGGTTCCAGACTACCTCCCCTTTTTATGCTGCTTGTCACAGAGTGAACAGGATTTTTTGGGTCCTGTTTGCTCTCTGGTAGTCCTCCCTAGGAGACTCTTCCTACAGGGGAGTCACAGGGAGATTGGTAACCTGTGGGAGTTGTTTAAGTGAAGTTCCTGTCCGTGTTGCCTCAGTGGCAGTTCTCACTTGTGTGTGACATCAGAAGCATTCCCTTGGCCCTCCATTACAGGATGTGGGCTACATTGTGTGTGTATTCGTAGAAAGTGTGGCCCTTTGTCACTTTGGACAAGCATTTGCTCACTAAAAACCATACCATGGAAGGATCTGCAACAGTAGACATCACTGCCTTTGCAACTTCTGGCTGAGCCCACTCAGTTGTCTCAGCAGTGGCTGTAGGGTGGTGTGTAGGTTGATGGTGGCTCCTAGAGTAGACAGACAGTGGTTGGTACTAGCTCTCTGATGCAACAGCATTTTCATTCCCAGAGATACAAACCAACTCCTGAGCAACCTGCCTCCAACGTGCTGAGTCCTGACTGGTCTTTGATCTTTTCCTGAATCACAAGATTCCAGCACCAATTTGTCAAAACCATCCAGACACTGGGGTCCCACAGTCAGGAAACTCACTTCCAGTCTCTGACTGAACATTCTCAGCCTCTTCATGGTGATCTCTAGTCTGGAGGTGGTCCATACACCATGCAGTTTGCAATGTGTGGGTAAATCAGGAGCATAGTATTTTATACTTGCTCCTGAGTGACATAAAACAACCCTCGGTACAACAGAGAACATAGTAAGAAGTCAGATATTAGAAAGTAATTAAATTGGGGACCAGGTAAAACAGGCCCTGAAACCAGGCCTGTATTCTAGTGCCTGGGGATTGACTGGGAACTGCCACAGAGCTTCCCATGCCGGATGGAGCCATGTACCCCAGATCCCACGTCTTCTCTTCGACCAACAAGACCAGGAAACCAGCAGATCCAGGTAAACATGGCTACACATCCGGTTGTGCCTTCCAGTGCCTGGGGACTCCCACAGAGCTTCCCATCCCAGCAGGAGCCAAGCACCTCAGATCCCAGGTCTTCTCTTCCACCAATGAGACCAGGGGACCAGTGAGTCCATACCAGGGGACCAAGGGGTCCAGGGGACCAGTGCCTGGGGACTGCCACAGAGCCTCCAATCCAGGCAGGAGCCACACACCCCAGATCGCAGGTCTTCTCTTTCACCAAAGGGACCAGGGGATCAGGTGGGAGACTATGCACCCCAGATTCCTGGGCTGTTTCTCCACCCACAGGACCAGAACTAGGACGAGGAATAGAAGAACTACCAGAGTATTGGACTTGCTTGCACCCACTGAAAGGGAACTCTGGTCCCCTAGTCACCAGACCAGTAAGGAGCTCTTTCTGCAACCATTAGAAGAAGAGATGGGAAAGAGACAATACAAAAACACACTCAGCAACAGAAAAACAAATATGAAACTGCCAGATTCTAGAGACTCGACACCAGCAAGACTCCAACATTCCAATGCAAAGGAAGCAGAAGAGAATGACCTTAAAAACAACAAGAAATGGAAGAAAAAGCAAACCAAAAAATGCAAGAAATGGAAGAAAAACCAAAAAATTCAAAAAATGCAACATTTGGACAAAAAGATAAAACAAAAATTGCAAGAAAAAATTCAAACAGAGCAAGTGTTGAAAACTGAAATAGAGACAATAAAAAACACAATCTGAAAAAAGACTGGAAATAGAAAACATGGGCAAACAGTCAGGTACTACAGATACAAGCATTACCACCAGAATACAAGAGATGAAAGAGAGAATCTCAGGTGTTGAAGATACACTAGGAGAAATGGATTCATCAATTAAAGAAAATCATAAGTCCAACAAATCCCTAACACAAAACATTCAGGAAATATGGGACACCATGAAAAGACCAATCCTAAGAATAATAGGTATAGAAGAAGGTGAAGAACACTACTTCAAAGGGGCAGAAAATATATTCAACAAAATCATAGAAGAAAACTTTCCCAACCTAAAGAAAGATATGCCAATGAAGGTACAAGAAGCTTACAGAACACCAAATAGAGTAGATCACAAAAAATCCCCTCACCACATAATAATCAAGACCCCAAACATACAGAATAAAGAAAGAATATTAAGAGCAGCTAAGAAAAGGCCAAGTAACATATAAAGGCAAACCTATCAGAATCACACCTGACTTCTCCATGGAAACTCTGAAAGCCAGGAGGTCCTGAATAGCTATTCTACCAACACTAAGAGACCATGGATGCTAGCCCAGACTACTATACCCAGGAAAGCTTTCAAACCCTATAGATGGAGAAAACAAGATACACCATGGCAAAACTGGATTCAAGTAATACAGAACCACTAACTCAGCCCTACAGAAAGATCTGGAACAAAAACTCCAACCCAAGGAAGTTACCTACAACCAGAAAAATATAGGCATTAGATAATGCCACTTTACTAACAGCCAAAAGAAAAAGTGGTGGGATTCCATACATAATTCCATCAACAACAACCATTCCAAATCAAAGAAGAATGAACAATCAATGGTCATTAATATCCCTCACTATTAAAGGTTTCAACTTGCCCATAAAAAGACACAAGCTAACAGAATGGATTCAAAGACAGAACCCATCCTTCTGCTGCATACAAGAAACACACGTCACCCTCAAAGACAGATATTACCTTAGAGTTAAGGGTTGGGAAAAGATTTTCCAATCAAATGGACCCAAGAAACAAGCAGGTATAGCAATCCTGCTATCTAACAAATTGGGCTTTAAAATAAAATCAATCAAAAGAGATGAAGGAGGTCATTAGATACTCATCACAGGCAAAATCCAACAAGATGAAGCGTCTATCCTGAACATCTATACCCCAATATAAAGGCACCCACATTCATAAAAGAAACATTACTAAAACTCAAATCACATATAAAGCCCCACACACTTATAGTGGGAGACTTCAACACCCGACTCTCACCACTAGACAGGAATACCAGACAGAAACTCAACAAAGAAGCAAAGGGACTAATAGAAGTTATGACTCAATTGGGATTAACAGACATCTATAGAACATTCCATCCACATAAAAATGAATATACCTTCCTCTCACCACCACATTGAACCTTTTCAAAAATTGACCACATACTTGGTAACATATCAAACCTCAGCAGCTACAAAAAAATTAGAATAACTCCATGCACCTCATCAGACCACCATGTATTAAAATTAGAATTCAACAACTGCGAACTGCAGAAACCCTACATACTCATGGAAATTGAATAATGCACAACTACACCATTCCTGGGTCAAAGAAGAAAAAACAACAACAACAACAAAAAAAAAGAAATTAAAGACTTCCTAGAATTCAATGAGAATGGAGACACAATATACCCAAGCCTATGGGACACTTTGAAAACAGTGCTACGGGGGAAGTTCATAGCACTAAGTGCCCACATGAAGAAACTGGATAACAGTTACACTAGAGAATTAACAGTACAGCTGAAAGCTCTAGAACACAAGCAAACTCACCCAGGAGGAGTAGACCCCAGGAAATAATCAAACTGAGGACTGAAATCAATAAAGCAGACACTAGGAAAACAATACAAAGAATCAATACAACGAAGAGTTGGTTCTTTGAGAAAATCAACAAGAGAGACAAATCTTTCTCCAAACTTACCAAACAGCAGAGTGTGAACATGCAAATTAACAAAATCAGAAACGAAAAGGACATAACAATGGACTCTGAGGACATCCAGAGAATCATCAGGTCATACTTTGAAAACCTGTACTCCACAAAATTTGAAAATTTAAAGGAAATGGATGATTTCCTGGATAGTTATCACTCGCCAAAATTAAATCAAGAACATGTAAGCAATTTAAATAGACCTATAACCCCTATGGAAATAGAATCCATCATCAAAAGTCTCCCAACCAAAAAAAAGGCCAGGTCCAGATGGCCTCAGTGCAGAATTCTACCAAAAATTCAAAGAACAATTCTTCTCAAAGTATTCCATGCAATAGAAGCAGGATGGTCTTTGCTAAACTCTTTCTACAAGGCTTCAATAACCTTGATACCCAAACCACACAAAGACACAACTAAGAAACAGAACTTCAGAGCAATATCCCTCATGAACATTGACGCAAAAATACTCAATAAAATACTGGCAAATCTGATCCAAGAACACATCAAAGCAATCATTCACCATTTTCAAGTAGGTTTTATCCCAGGGATACAGGGATGGTTCAACATAGGAAAAGCCATCAATGTAATCCACCATATAAACAAGCTGAAAAACAAAAATCACATGATCATCTCTCTAGATGCAGAAAAAGCCTTTGACAAAATCCAACACCCCCTCATGATAAAGTTTTGGAGAGATCTGGAATAATAGGAACATACCTAAACATAATAAAAGCTATTTACAGCAAACCAACAGCCAACATCAAACTAAATGGACAGAAACTCAACGCAATTCCTCTAAAATCAGGAACAAGACAAGGCTGTCCACTCTCTCCATACCTTTTCAATATTGTGCTTGAAGTTCTAGCCAGAGCCATACGACAACAAAAGGAGATCAAGGGGATACAAATTGGAAAAGAAGAGGTCAAATTTTCACTATTTGCTGATTATATGATAGTTTACATAAATGACCCAAAGAACTCTACCAGGGAACTCATACAGCTGATTAACACCTCCAGCAAAGTGGCAGGTTAAAAGATCAACTCAAGAAAATCAGTAGCCCTACTATATACAGATGATAAAAGGACTGAGAAAGCAATCAGAGAAGCTAAGTAAACAAGTGAAAAACCTGTATCGTAAGAACTTTGAGTCTTTAAAGAAAGAAATTAAAGAAGCCCTCAGAAAATGAAAGATC